TTATGAAGGACTCTCCTGCCCAGGTAGTGACATGGGGAGGCTCTGTTGCTTGTCCATATTAACAGGCACATGTATAACGTCCTGTAGTGCTGGCATCCATCCTCGGAAGTCCCTGTACATTGTCCTGGGTATGTGTCATGCACCTAGGATGAATCTTACAGTGGGACTGGGGTATGGAACATGTGGCTTTTCTTTGCTCTTCTTGCTCCAGTGGAATTATGGTGACCCTGGCATCTTCAGAAAAGTCCAACTCCTGCTGGTCCCGACCTTCTTCAAATAAATGGGTGCTTGAAATGATAGCAACGAATGGTGCAGTGCCACAAGCAGATGAGAGAATACAAAATCATCATCAGCACTCCAAATGAATGCGTATCACAGAGTCAAAAGCATATCAACATTTCAGGGCTCTGCGGGTCCATTCCTCAAGGTGACATAGTATCATTAATGTCCATTTCCACCCTTGTAAGTGATTAGCATTTATTGTTGACTCACATTGCAGGCTTTCTTCATTTTTTTTTAATTAAAGTTTTATTAGGCCTGAAGCCTAAACATTCTAAATGGTCTCCAAAGGAAATTCAGTCTGATACCAGGGTGTCTGAATATAAATGGTTCTCCCCTTCCCTGTCACACATTTTAACATGATCAGTAAACACCAGCTCTGTCTTTACACACTACACTGTCCGGGAGGGTTGATATACACACATTTCTTGCACAGCAGACATCCATTTCCATGAGAATACGAAGAGGAAAGCTAACAAAAATTGTAAGTGTCTGTTTTCATATACTTCAGCTGCATATGCCTGCTTCATGTACGCTCGGTGTACATTGCTGGCACGTTTAAAAAAAATACCTGTGCAAAGGTGGAAATGGGCTTTAAGGAGATATAGAAAGGTATCACTATGTTATCTGGAGGAATGGACCCTGCAGACCCACGAAATGTCGGTTTGCTTGTGTGACACTGTTTTCATCTGTGATGCACATTCACGTGGCATGCTTGTGGTTTTGTATTCTATCACCTGGCATCTCCAGGACATGTATCTGAGCAGCAGTGGTTCATTATGGGGCTCCCTACCATCTCATCCTGTTTAGATCTGTAATTTGGTCTGACCATTCAATCTGGTCTTCTTTTTTCCAGGTTCGTTTCACCGTGACTGGACATGAGCTGCCCTGTAGACTCCTTGATCTGCAGAAATTCATTGCTGGGAAGAAATACAAGAACTTGATGGAAGTATCATTTGATGGCAGCAAATATGAGCCCCACATTATCCCCAGCACCAAGAACAAGTATGTTGGCTGTCTGTCCTATTTTGTGTAGCACCAGATTTAAAGCTGAAGTTTAGTAAAATATTTTTTTGGGGGTGCAGTACGAAACCCATTAGATATGTGTAATGTTGTGTATCCCCAAAGCTCCAGCTGCTGCTTTTTGTAAAAACTGTCCTCACTGCCCCCCAACACAGCACTGCTTGTGTAATATCCGTGAGTTGTGAGGAGGAGAAGTGAGAGGAGGCTGTCTGCACTTACTGTGAGAAGCCATTCAAATAACTTCTATTACCATGATCCCTCGATGCATCAAGTTCTATGAATAGAGAGAGCTGTTGAATGGCAATCTCCTCCTCCATTCACAGAACTCGATTTATTGTGGGATCATATTAAGAGAAGTTCTGTGAATGGCGGAGAGAGCCGAGAGGGAGCCAAGTGTAATATCTGGAGGTTGTGAGGGGAAGATTTTTAAAAGAAGCAGCTGATTTGGCTGTATCTTTGGGGAGTAAAATATATCACCATCACACCCTGGTCAAATCTTCAGAAAGTGATCACACACATTTATGGATGCACACACATCTTGTCACATTGCAACGTTTCGGGGCCACAAAGGGACCCTGAGTGGCCCCGAAACGTTGCAATGTGACAGGTCATGCCTGAGGAAGGGACCCTGAGTGGCCCTGAAATGCTCCAACATGAGGAGGTGTGTGCATCAATAAAATTATCACTTTCTGAAGATTTGCCCACGGTGTACTGGTGATATATTTTACTACTTGAATCTGAAGCGGCGCCACCCGCAGTCACTACAGCACCCACCGCAAGGGACATACCAGTAAGGAGTGCGGTAGGATTCTCCTATATGATGCTTTCGGGATACACATATTGAATGTGTTTGGAGCTATATCCCCCCAAAAATGCTTCAGCTTCAGGACTTTGTTCTGGATGTAGTGAGGTAGGGTTCATATTTGTATTGCTCTTTGAAATTCCCATTGAGGTGATTTCTCCATTTTCTGTTCAGTTGTCATTGGGACTAAACATGAGAGGTAATCCCTCAAATTGGGTCACAGACAACAATGAAAACCTATAAAAACAAGAAATGACAGGGCGCCTGCCCTAGTGTAAAATTGCTTTATTTAAAAGATTGATCTGAGTTGCTCTGATGAAGGGGGGCGTGGCCCCGAAAACGTGTTCCGCATTTAGTGGTCGGACGGAGAGACGTATAGGCTGTTCCCAGTGTGGAACAGTTTACCTTGTGCACAGCCGCATTTGGCACTTTATAAAGGCTCATCGTTTGTGAGTATGATTTATGATCATTTACAATCTTATAAATAAAACAATTTTACACTTGAGTAGGCGCCCTGTCATTGCTTATTTTTATAGGTTTTCAGTTCCCTGACTGCCAACGGGGCTGCCTGCAATAGTGGTGTATGTTTAAAGGTCAGCCATGCTAATCCTGTGGCGCTAATGTGGAGTGTGGTAAAACAGTGAAAACCTGACATACGTAACCCTTCCCCTCTCTGTCCACAACTAAAAACATGTTCTCTGAGGACAGGACATGGCAGTTTAACTGCTAATATGTTTCAGAATAAGTGCTGGGTGATGGGTTCTGTATAAACATGTGCACAGTCCAAGGGGTTTGTGAAATATTCCAGCCACTGCATCTCTTTCCACAAACTGCAAATACCTCAATTATCTAATGAATTTCTACTCCTAAAGGTGACACCACAAGATCATATTTTGGGGATCTGCTCCTTTATGTAACTTTTCTGCACTGGGACCCTTCAACTTTAAAGCTATCGTGGGGAATAAGTAATGTCTATTTTGCTTCCAGAGGTCAGCTGTTCTGTAAGCTAACAGTACGTCACATCGCAAAGCGCCTGGAAGATGTTCAGAGACACATCAATGGAAGCCGCTACCAGCGAGCACTGCAGAAATGTGAGTTGCATGTAGAATTCTCAGTAGGACCTACAGTTATAAATCCATGAGCAATAGTGAAATTATGGCACTCGTCAGCTCTTGCATTGTTCAAAGCATTCCACTTATTGGAGTGGGCAGCAGATGACTTGCAGGATGTGGTCTTTGTCCTGGGAATATGACCGCCAACAGTTTTCGCTCTGTAGCTGCCCTCTGTGGAGGCAAATGCAGAGATTCCTTTTGCTCAGTGGTAATACCCTTTTGGTGTGTGTACTGACATGCTGGAGAGGGCACTAGATGACGCCAAGACTGCAGCATTACAGGGACGCTCCACTGGATGGCAACATTAGTACTCAGTGGTATGAAGGGCTCTGTCTTGTAAAGTCTCTGCTCCCCATGTGTCAATGCACTATGAGTAAAATACTTTAATATGATCAGACCTTTCTAATGATCTCTGGAAAAATATTCCATGCTTTCACTATATTTTCAACTTTTTTATGTTTCATTAATAAAATTAAAGAAAGATGTACAGGAACACTGACTGTAGGACCAGCTCCCCATAAAGATTGCTTGAAAGTTTTCCCACACAGCTCTTTCCCAGAATTTTATCTGGTTGTGCTGTGACTCAAACTTACTACACATTCTACAATAAGCATGAGATAAGACTGGATTAAGTTGCACAGACCATAATGCATGTAACTAGCCTTTGAGAAATCCCTCTGCTTTTTCTTTCAGACGAGGAATGCCAGAAACTGGGGGTGGAATATGTGCCTACTTGTCTCCAGAACAAGTCCAAGCAACGCAAATTGGGGGATGAGCAACAAGCTGGCAAAAAAGAACAAATGTGGGAACTGGATAATAGCGGTGCTGAGGACAGCGACTCCAGCGACAGCATGAGTGACCTTTATCCAGGTATCGGTAATCACAAGCTGCTGCAACCAATAGGCCCACACACGACTTCCTTGTAGCAAGGTCCAATAAAAAGAGCCACAGTCTTCCTTGTTTCTTGTAAATCTTGTATCAGAATTTAAGCTGCCAGAGATTTGACACCTTTTAGATGTTAGCAGTTAAAGGAAACCTGTCATTGCCCATGTCTACTTTTTGAAACTACTGGTTTCCTTTGTTTCCAGATAATCCAAAAGCTTCAGTGCTTTTTAAGTCACTGACAGATCCAAGATTTCTAACTTCACCCTGACCTTCACATTATTAATTACTCTGATCCCTTTGCTGGATTCACAGCTTAGAACACCAGACCTAACCCTTTATCCTATCCCCAAATCAGAGCACATCACTTGGCCATCATCATCATCATCATCCCAAGTCTGGTGCACAAATGACCTGATCTGATCCTTTATAAGTATCCTCAGTCTGAATTACAACACTTGGCCTTGCCCTTTCTCGTATCCCCAATGTGGAGCTGGGACCTGACTTTTTATTCATAGTGCCCATTTGGCAGATAAGCCTGATCCCTTTATTCACATCCCCTATTTTGAGCACAACAGACCTGACCCTTTATCGTACCCCTGTTCTTTAGCGCAACACATTACCCTAAGCTTTATCCATGTTCCCAGTCTGGAGGACAACACCAGAACTGACTCTTAATCATATCCCCAATACAGAGCACAAATGACCTGACCCCTTATCTTTTCACCCAGAGGGAACACAACATTAGGCCTGATCCTTTCTGCTATTCCCCAGTCCAGAGCACAACACCTGACCTGGCCCTTTGTCCGATCCCTAGTTCTGAGCTTTATCGAATCCCCAACTTGGAGCACAAAACTAGGCCTGACCCTTATCCTATCCCCAATCCGAAGCACAACACCTGACTCTTTATCATATTTCCAATATGGAGCACAACACCTGATCTGACCCTTTATCCTATCCCCAATATGGAGGGCAACACTCGACCGGACCCTTTATCCTGTTCCCAATCTGGAGCACAATTCCTAACCCGACCCTTTATTCTATTCCTAAAGTAACTTTAAACTCAGGCGTTAAAGTACTTGAATGCTTTTTTAAGACATAACTGTTAACAAAAATGTAACTTTTCTTTGTGCATCACTCAGCTGTAAATCCTCAAATCATCTCTGAATTGGTGCTGACACTCTTTCCTTCTGGAGGGCGGCTACTTTTGCTCTCCAGGGTTCCTGTGTGTTGTACAGTTGTCACCGCTCCAAGCACGCTCCCGTGATGGGGCTGTAGTTTCAGGACAAATTAGTAAACTAAACGTGAGATTGTAATCTATCACAGGAGCGAGCTGGCAGCCGTGGATACTTTACAACACACACAGGGACCATGGGGAACAAGAGTAGCCCCCCTCCAGAAGGAAGGACAGTGTCAGCACCAATTCAGAGATGATTTGAGGATCTACAGCCGGGTGATACACAAATAAGATAGTTTTGTTAATAGTTAAGGTATTTGAATGCATTTTTAAACTTCTGAGCTTAGTGTCACTTTAACCTTACCTGAACACAGATTGCTGCCTATGCAGGATTTACCAAATAAGTAATTCTCCTCTCCAGCCTTATTCTGTTGCACTTTTACCTTCACTGAATAGAGCTGTTGCAAGCTATGCTATTGCATGCTCGTCTTATAGCTTTATAATTTAAAAATGTTAATTTATATAAATTATTCTCAGATGGAAAAACACTTTTTTTTTGCAGCACACATGTTCACAAAGAAAACCATAGATGGGGAAAATGGTGAAGTAAAGTCAGACAGTAATGAAGAGATGGAAGTGGAGGAGAGTGTTAATAACAGCCAGAGAAAACGGCCACAGGTACGCATGTGTTTGGTTGTGGAGTATTATATAATGAAAATAAATAATCTGATTGGTTTTTTTCTTTCTCTCTCTCCACAGAAGCAGACAGGGCCCGCTCTCAAAAAGTTAAAAAGTCACCATAAGAAATCAAAAAATACCAAGACGTCTTCAAAAAAGTGAATTCTGTCTCCTCACAATTTTTATAACAGTTTCTTCATTGGGGAGGACGCAATAGCTACAATTCCAGTAAAAGATAAAAGTTGGCAATCTCCAGATTATTCCTTTTGGATCTTGAGTCTCAGCCAGAAATTTGGAACATCCCCCTGTGCTGTCATCTTTATGAGCTGGAATGGTTTGGTGTAAATAACATTTTTGAAAAGAACACAGCGATTTCAACATTACCTTTTAAAATATTCCAAACCAGTTTGTGGGGATGTCTGGATACATATTTACAGATGTAATGCTGATTGTACACTATTTCTGAGTGTCTACTATTCAGACAGCAGGAAAGCGGAAATTCCATCAACATGCATAGGTAGGGTCCTATTCATACACATGGACTGTGGGACACTTCAGTGCTCAATTGCTTTACTTTCTTTTGTGGTGTGAAATAAAAGTACTTGTACAACTTATGTGCATTATACTGTTAGTTTACATATGTGCAGCAATCATAGGGTTTCAGGTACACAGACAAATGCACAACTTCTTCCCTGCATAGACACCCATCAGCATGTGGGAGAGAAATGCTGTTGGGATTTCCCATTCAGCACTGAAATACGCATAAGCATGGAGGTGAACTGTGGTTCTCATGCATTTGTTGTCTGTAGGTAGTGGCTTCAGCCACAAAGGCAGTTAAGATGTAATGGGAGAAATATTGAGGCTGACAATGTTGTCTTGCTGTTATGCTAATTCCTTGGCTTTTATACTTTACTGAGTCACTAAGTCGGGGTAAATTTGCATAACAACAAAGTCAGAAGACCTTCTCAGCATACTTATTTTAGGCCAGTGATGCAAAGTTCTGAAACCATTACTTGACTATGAACAGGCAGCTACTATTTTCAGAAAAGGCCACCAATTGCATTCAGATAGGCTTCCTTAAAGTTGAAGTGCAGATAATATTTCCTTCCCCCCCACTAGTAATTCTTGTCCCAAATAAATGCAACTTGCCTTGTATGTGTGTTTCCCCCTCCTAAAGCTGATTACTATGTCTGTCATACTAGTGTATTGTCCTCAAAAAAATGAAGATCTAATGGCTTGCATTCATAGACCCATGATGAGTGCTAGTTAGGCTGTCTTGTGTATCTGTATGTATTTTACACCGTGCCTCAACTTTCAGTTTAGTCATTTCACTTTATACTCTCCAACATTGCAAATCTCAGAAAAAACATGTAAACAGCGCTCTCGGATGGGCAAAAAGTTGGCTTAGAGGCGTACTTTCTTGAACATTAACATTGCAAATCTGCATGCCTTACATTAGGTCACATTACAGGTTGCGTATAGAGGGTGAAGTGAGTAACATTTTAGAGCAGAGCGGAGAGATTTTTCATACGATGGCTGCCTGGCGAAGAACTTTCTCATCACAGAGAGGATACCAGAGATGCAAAAGCTTGTGTCCATTTTAGACCTGCAGCTAATAAAGAGGGAGAGATATCTGACCTTGATTCCTAGGGGCTATAGGGAGGTCACTGTTTTAGATCTCAGCTGGGATCTATTACCTTTTTGTTTGGGAAAATGAAAACAATTTTGAAAGTAAAAAGGGACTAATAGCCTACACTTAAACGGATCTCGATTATATTTTCATACTCACCATAAATACTGAGACTGATGGGGGTGTAAATCCTATTAGTGAGCTGGATAATATAAGGAGGGCGGGGGGGGAAACAAAACCTATCATACCCCTCCTCCAGGCATTGGTCTTTCATTCTGCAGCAGAGAAAGACAAAAGCACAGTAAAAACAGCAGCAGGCAAGGTAACAACCCGAGGTGAAAGTGTTCCAAGTTTGCAATGTTAACTGGGGGACACAGGAGACCTATGGAAGGCAGGACAACAGACAAAAAGAAGCAGAGCCCTGCTATGATGACTTTCAAAGCTGAACCTAAAAAGAAAGCAGCGAGACAAAGGCAGGGGCCGGAAGAAAAAAAAACAAACTTTGGAAGAGGAGACATAGAAAAAAACTTTAATAAAAACTCATGAGTAAGAAAATAATTACATGCCTGAAGCAGATGTAGAAGTCATAGGGATGAGGCTGAAAATTGTAGAAGGGGAAATAGGGAGACAATTAAGTATGCAAATTCTCTACCTGTGTATTCTGTGCAACTACTTGGTCTGGCAAAGCACCAGTATAGAACCATCTTGGTTAATGCACAGAGCTAAGAGTTCTCTCTAGGTTCAATGGTGTGGGAGGGGGGAGCAACCTACTGCACATAAGGAAATAAAAACATACAGAGATCTCATTGCCATCTCTTATGTAGTTAAATGACTGCATAATAGTCACAGAACCATAAGATCTAAGAACACTCCTTAAGTAGGTGCAGAGTCCACTTTAACAAGATTTTTTTTTTTTTTAAGTTGACTACTGTGCCATTAGTCATATCATGCAGTCCACTCTTTGCAATGTGGAGCACTGCATATCTGAACCTCACTATACGCACCAAAGATACTTTGCAAGATCAGGGCAACCCACTGGTGAACCTTAACATAAACCAGCAACATTTAGTTGTCAATTTTTCCAGACTTACCAAATGGAAACATTGGAAGGGTCAGCAGACCCAAGAGCTGCGTATATAAGCCACATTGTGGGAGAATCTCCTCAGAGACCTGCTAAAGCACAAGAAAGTCCTATGTCAAGCTGAAAAACAACTGGAAATGAACAAGGAGCTGACTCTCTGGGTGTGGGTGCAGGATGGACAGATTTTGCTGAAAGCCAGCATCCTGGATAATTTGCACATAGTCTGTGCTCTACGAATCAATGGAGGGGAACAAGACTTTGCAGACTGGCCATTATTGACACGGCTGTCAAAATAAGGCACCTTCCGCTATCCTTAATCTTGGCAGTAAACTAAACAACCCAGCTCCAACTCTGGACTAAACCACAGGCCAAGCAGGCACATGGATGGAAGAACTAGGCTCTTACCAAAAGGCAACCTATATTAAATGATAACTAAAAATAAATATTTAATACAGTGGATCTCGCCAATCCTTAGATGTGGTGGCTGCATGAGCTTATTTTTTAGGCCAAGAACACTTTTGGCAAAAACATAGGGATGAACCAATACCATTTTTTTAACATTGAGTACAAGTATCGATACTTTTCCTCAAGTTCTCGCCGATACCAATACCTTTTTTTTTTTTAGTGTTATGTGACAGTTTTTCTAAAACAATACAGACTAATGATTTTAGGACAGTGCTGGAGCACCCAGGCATTTGAGATGCAAGTTGTCCAAATATAAAAGATGCTCCCCATTTTGGAAAGTGGGGGTACATCATTCTGAAGATTTGTTTGAGGGTTTGGCCAAATTGAATCTCCAGGCCTTGTGGTGGACTAGGAGGCAGACCATAACTCTAGCTGAGGGCAGCAGACATTTGTTCCAAACATTCTATGACTAAGAGATGAACCACAATAGTTATCAGATCCTTTCTTATAGCCTTAGACCAGTCAGTCAGTATTTGAGGGTCCCCAAAGACAGGTGCAAGGGAAGCCACAAGAGTCAGAAAACTGTTATTTAGGCCATAAAGTCCTGCATGACTGAAGTAAAAGCCTCTTTGCACAAAGCAGGAATTGCCAATCACACCCAACAAAGCTAGGAAAGACTACAAAGATGGCACAGACACTAGGAGCAGAGGGGCAAGGAGATTCCAGGCTGCAAATGTTGGCCACATTAGTAGGCACACTGCAAGCAGCGCCAGATCCATTAGTAGGAGGCACCCAACACATCAGGACTGCCCCCTCCCCTGTATTTTAATTCAGATACTGTATGCTGCAATCACGTGATGGTGAAGCAATGTAATTAAAAGGTACAAGGAAAAGCCTTAAGTACTCTGGTAGCAGGTGAGGTGGTAACCAAGTCAGCGTGAGGAGCAGCAGGAACAGACCAAAGATCAATGTCACATGACTCTTGGTAATGCAGGAGCAGCAGCAGGGAGATGCTTCCTCGACACTGAATGGTAGGAAAGAGGGAGTGGGAGCATGCACGTTTGACACTTACCAGTGGATGACACCAGTGCTTACCCTCTCGTGGTAGGAACTGGGGACTTTAAGGGTGCCAAGCAATCCAAACATATAGTGTTGCTCCTGGTGCTCAAACCAACTGGCTGACTCACCGAGTGAGTCTTCAGAGGGAAGAAGCACACAGTGGCTAACTTCTTACCAGACAGGGTCTGGAAATCACCTTATGCAGAATCCAGTAGCTGAAGGTCACTTCCAGGCTAGCCCCCCAGTTCAGCATTCTAAAGCCAAGCTGAGGATAGGCCACTCCAAATGACTACTATCTTAGAAACCTGCTCTAGCAGCAATGTCCTGAATGAAGAAGAAAACACTGAAAAATAAATGAACATAAATGGTGGTTGCAAAAATTAACTAGTCTTTTACAAGAAGAACTAAAGAATATACATCTATCCTCCTAGGATATAAGCAGAATAAAGAGGCATGCTGGTAGTAGGAGGGGTCATCCTGGGCAGGTCTACATTTTTGTGTTTGCCAGTGTCCTATCCTCCAGTAGGTGGCAGTATAACTCAAAGGTTAAAGTTTTCCTGCGTTCCTCAACAGATGAAAAAGAAATACATGTCATTAGATAACATCTACTATATCAACCGTGTGAAACAGGGGTGAACACATGAATATGGAATGTAGGAGCAAGCAGGATATTATTTTAGGAGCCAACTCCATTAACAACAAATAGAGAAAACCTCAAAACTTAGACGCCAGCTATAATTTTTAAGGAGCATTGGCTCTCTGGCTCCTGCGATTTGTCCAGCCCCATGTAAAAGCATAGTGGAACTTACCAAGCCTGTTAACCCGATTATCTCTGTAATTATATGATCTCTGCTGAGCCTTTGCATAAGGGTATACATTTTTTCCTTAGTATTCATATTTCCTAACATGCAAATCTTATACGCTTTAGCTCTCATGTGTTCCCCAATGAAAGATAAAAAAAATAAAAATAGCCAGGTTGATTTCTTAAAAGTGACACCACCACCAGAGATCCAGACCTAGATAGTAACACTCTCCACTAAATAGGCTGGATCTCTGGGTGGTGGTGTTTTGAAAATAATGAATGAGGAAAGAGTGTCCCACCAGAATTTTTTCCTGACAGAGTGGCAAAGCTTAGATACCCGGTGACAGAAAATAAAGAATACTGACATCTTAATTTGGGTACGTGGAGCTTTATTGTGACAAGCAGAGAAAATGCTGTGGATTCTGCTCTGTCAATCAGCATACAGGTGACATTACACTATATAACAGTTGGACACAATTGCATGTGGCGGTAGACACCTAGGTGAAATATCCACGCGCAGTCTCTTACAGGAAACCTGTCAGGGGTTCAAGTGCTTTTATACAACAGCTGGTGGTGATGTTGATGGGGAAATTCCTGTCATATGTTATAGATAAACTAGCAAATCATTTAGTCTATTTTGTAATAAAATAGATTACATGTATAAAGACTATTGAAGACTGAAATCTATAGTACAAATGGGTGATTGACAAGATACAGGTTCACTTTCTCTTCCGGTTTTCTTTAAAAGCAATCTGAAGGAAGGACTGTGGCTGGACATTAATCACACACACAGTTCATGGGATGTATGTAAAAATAGGCAGTGAGATCCTTTCAGCATGCGAAATGCTAATGTGGTAATAAAAGGCTCTTTCCTCTCCAAACTAACCAAAAAGAAAACTATGATTGTGCAGTGCATGATGGGAGACTTTGGTTCATGCAAGTTATGCTCTGAAGGTGGTTGCTGATACTTCAGTCTGAACATCCTGATAAAAACACCCGATGCCCATTTGCTGCTCTCAGCCATTTTCTTTCCACAATACCAAATGGATACTGTGATCAGGCATACTTGTGGCAAAGACCAAGCCAACGTCATTAACACCATCCAAGCCGTTCAGCCATTCCATTTCTCCCGCCAAGAAGCTTGAGCCCCGCTTGGACTTCCTATACTCTGGCAGGGGCCAACGGCTGATCACTTTCTCAGTCCGTAAGTTCATAATGTACAAGTGGTGGTTGTCAAACAAAAGAGCAAAAGTGTCACCAAAGCCGAGAAGGGAGAGGCTGTTGGAGTCTGGCATTTTTATAATTCTATAAGAAACAAACATTATTACAATATATAAACAATAAAGCAGACTAAAATGTCAGTGGTTGGTAAATGCTGGACAGTCAAACACCACAGTTTCTTACATCACTGAGGGCTTGGATGGTTATATCTCTGCTTTGAGTTCCCAGGTATTTACACACACACACACACTATTATGAGGTTTTCCACTCTGCTCGACAAATACAACATGAAGAGTAAGAACAACCCCAGGAACTAAAGCACAGAGATCTCACCACTAGTGTTCCAAAGAAAGCAGCAGATGACTTGGCCCAACAAACTCTGGCTTTAGCTAGACTTAACAATGACCACCTAATAAATGGTAAGCCTACTAGAATGATAGCATGAATTACCTTTTGTAGGCATGACCGCTGCACTTCATGGATTCCCCTCACAAATTTTAGATTCCTCAGGGTCCAAACACTGTGAATAGTGTAAGCTTGTATACAAAATATTTCATAATTTGTGTTTACTTTTTAGATATTAGTACAGAAATAATACATCTGATGTGTTGAAACAAAATGTAACCCTGATTTATGGTGGATATTGAATTGTTAGCTTGAGAGATGTGGAGCAATAGCCTGCGGCAGCCAAACTTCAGTTTATTGGGACCACACAACTGAAAGATAGCTTCTGGTTTGTTGGTTCAATCTGCTCTTTGACATAGGCTGCCCACATTAGGGAAAGATCAGTTCAGTCCTTCTCTGTAACCATTGAAGCGGACCTTCACACTCAAAAATCTAATTCTACCAATTCATGCCTCTATGTATGATGATTAATAATAACATAGACATGTCAGGTGTAAAATGCTGTGATTGGGAAATACTTACACTTGGAGGAGAGCATTCACTTCCTGCTTTGAAAGGGCAAAATTACTTTAGTTTGCCAAAGCAATGCACACTGGGATTGCCTTGTCATCAGCAGAGCATTGCTGGGAAATCTCATCTGTAATCTCATGAGATCTCAGGGAAAGGCATTTCCCTTCCCTGGGGTGATTTGCATGGTCACATGTCCTAGTCACATGTGCCAGAAATGCAGGAAGTAAAAGGAGATCGAGTATTCTGCCCTTAGTAAACATGGCCACTGTCAGAAGACTGGGGAAGAACATAGAAATAAAGTATGCAGAAAATACCAAGACGTCAATTATCTGGAAGTATGTGTTTCTAGATTGTGATTACTAAACATTTGTAAAAGGTGTGTTTGTTGTTATTTTAAAGATATGGATAAAGGTCCGCTTTGATAAACACAGATGGCACTGGAAATACTTGTTATTACATCTTAGAAGCACTGAATGGCCCTGGTCCTTGCTCAGTATCACACAGGACTGTACAACAGAGCCGTTAATAGCCAGCCTATGTCAAATATGCAAAGGTCTTTCATTCTGATGGACTACCCATCTACAACTAAGGACTTTGTCTTGTGTGTCTTCTATTTAGAGGTGTGATTGGCAGGATGGTGTCTTGGGATTGATGACACTAAAGACAATGGTTCCACGGTCTATCACATCTGAACAGAAAGAGGTGGAGAGTCATCTATTTACCTTAAAATGTCATAGCTGGCAAAATCCCATTGGTAGAGTCCTAATGCTGAGCTGCATACGATGTATCTGCCATCGAAGTGCAGGCGTGGCTGCAGCGTAATACTCCGGTCATCCGACACATACAGCGTCTTCAAACATTTGCAGTTAATTTCTCTGCCAATTGGCCAAACCTGCAAAACAAACAAAATAAAAAACTAAATATAATTTCTAAAGTCAACGTACAGTGGAAAATTAGAAGCTTTGTGATCAGATCAATCCTATATTTCTGAAATATGCCGTTTAAGTAAATGGATATTACTTCATACCACATTAACAGAATAGATAAGAGTGTTAACCACTGAGTGATGGTGTAAGTGAAACAACCTCACAATGGGTGTGGAAGGTGAGTGGAGCTGTGAATAAAGATGTTTGTTATAATGTAACAGGAAGGCACCGACCGCAATAAAAACATTGTTGGAATCTTCAACCTTTTACACTCAGACGGGGCCTGTACATGTGCCACTATATTTTTTCCCCATCACTATCTTTCCTGACAGGAAGTAAGAAGATATCTCCCCAACAGTGACAGCTTATCGGTAGTTATAAGCAACAGTCAGAGCTAATAGCAGTTTTACTGCTTCTCAATAACAAAAAGCATTTTATAAACTAAAAAAATGCAGCCTTGGTTGATAAAATACTGGGAGTGTAATTCTATTTCAAATCCTGCACTGACCAAGCATTGCCTGCAAACTGGAAAAAGTCTGCTTTTGTGGTGTTGAGTCTGTTTTATTCTCTATAGCGTTAAAGGGAACTTTTCCTGAGCAGGACATAGTGGCCGCCACTGCTACTGCTCATTATGCAAATGCTAATTTTCTGGCTCTTATGTTTATTCTTTGGCTTCAATATTTTCTGGTCATTAAAGGGTAACTCCACTTAACACTTAAAAAAAATATAGAAACAATCTTAAAATAATATAGCATATATCATTGTTCCCCGAGGCATTTTGTAATTTAACGTTATTAAAAATTACCTTTCCACTTAAAACTGTAGCCGCTGCAATGTTGTAAATCTGTAAAAAGAAAATCAATGCAATATGGCAACCTGGAGGCATTCTGCACACAGTTGGTTTACAGAACTCCCCCAAAAGTATCACTTCCTGCTTCTGTGATTGTCTGACTGCTTTTCCCAGAAATATGGGTACAATTTTGGCATTCCTTGCAATAGGAATAACATTTTTGGTAAGATTTACCCTAAGGGTTAATTTTTACACCAGGGATTCAGACACTGCACTGCCATTACTTATTCCAACTCAGGAAGCCCACCAGCTAATTATAACAAATGCAGACCCTCCCATTCCAGAATCAGTTTGGAAAGGACATGCTGCAACAAACAGGTAATTCTTTAGAACAAAAACAACAACAGGTAGGAAATTGCAGCAAAGTTAGTTAGTTAAAATCCTAGCAGTGAACATGGATCACCCAGAAAGGGTTTTTTTTTTTTTTGTCCTCTCAACAAACGTGGAACTACTCTTTAAAGTGAAGTAAAGTAAAATAAAAAAGAAAATGCCGATTGGCAGGCTTTCCATGACAGAAGAGACTGTGTAAATCTCTTCTGCCATAAAAGTGTCTAGCTGTCTGTCAGTATTTTGTTTTTCTTCCTGTACACTGACATATGCATAACTCAGCATGTCGAGATTAATGAACTCCCCAATGCTATTGAAACATCAAAAGCATAAAAAGTAACATTCATTAAACTGTAAAATGCTTTTTAGAAATTTGACAATTCTTTATAAGCTGAGAAATATAAAGAATCAGACAACACAGGATGTTGGCACAGGAAAGGCGAGCATCAAAAAGAAAGAAAAAAAAAAGAAATGCACACACAATTTCAATTACACACACTAGAAGGTTTGAGGTTTAAGTCAGTCATACTCTTTATTGGCTAACTGACGTTATTAGAGATGCAAGCTTTCAGGATTCATTACATCCCTTTGTCAGGCTTTAAACTTGACAAACGATCTAAGGAATCCTGAAAGTTTCTTTAATAACTTACAGTGAGGAAAATAATGATTTGATCCTCCGCAGATTTTGTAAGTTTGCCCACTTACAAAGAAATGAAAGGTCTATAATTTTTATCATAGGTGTATTTTAAATCATAGAGGCAAAATATCAACCAAAAATCCATAAAAGACACACATGATACAAATGTTATAAATTGAGTTGCAGTTCCATGAGTAAAATAAGTATTTGATCCCTTACCAACCAATAATAATTCTGGCTCCCACAGGCTGGCGATGTGGTACACAGATTAGTCCTGCCAATTTAAGAAGATGTTCCTAACGACAACTCGTTATGTATATAAAAGACATCCGTCCACAGAATCTCTTTCTTCCATTCATTCATTTATAACATTTGTATCATGTGTGTCTTTTATGGATTTTTGGTTGATATTCTGTCTCTATCATTTAAAATACACCTATGATAAAGGTTATAGACCTTTCATTTCTTTGTAAGTGGGCAAATATACAACATTTGCAGGGGATCAAATCATTATTTTCCTTACTGTGAGTTGGCCAATAAAGGGTATTACTTTAACTTCAAACTTTCTGCACTAATCAATGGCTAACAAGGTACAATACTCTACTACTGTAAATATACACAGCATAAATACCTTAATTTCATATTTATCAGCACTTAAAAGGATGTAATCTCCGGGACTATGCATGACGGATTTCACCTCACATCTCTGTAAGACGACCTAAGGGTACACAAAATATCTCTGTTAGCTAAGCGTACACATACAGCAGTGTAGACTACTATTCCTTTGTTATGTGTGCATAGACATCTGATTTCCAGGGTAGCTCATGTGTGTATGACCTGGCAGGGTGAGGGCAAAACAAATACTGAGAGCGGAGTGTGGAAATTGTCTTAAAGAACAATGAATGGCAGGGTGAACATGTGGTGGCTATTGTGAAAGTCAGTTGTGGGGGATGGCGCGGTGCCAGTGGAGGTCAGTGTTCCCCAAATGAGAAATACGGTTATAGTTAGTTGCCATCACAGAAGGAGGCAGCAGGGCAAACAGAAGCTAGACTTAGAGCACTCATTATCCCTTCTTTCTAGATATGCATTTGAATTACCATCAGATGATGTTCACAAACTATAATATGCTTACTAGAATTAACACATTGGCTTTAAACAACAGAAAATGTTAAACTAACATTGAACGGGCCACACACGCTAATCCTTCTCTGAACTCTTGTGGTGAAAGCTGATAACAGTATATCACTATAACTTATATTTGATAGTAAGCAGAAACCTGCCTTGGTGACCCACTCGGTGTGTCCGGTGAGTGTATTCAAGCATGATCCGGAAGATAAGGCCCAGATTTTCACAGTGTTATCCGCAGAGCCACTGACCAGAACGTCCAATTCATCATTATAGTCCACACTGAACACTGCACAGAATGGAGACAAGCACAACATCTGTCATCAGCTCTTATGAACTGCAAATGTCTGTGTCACATATAGCAACCAGTCTTCTGCTTCCTTTCACAGTCTAACCTACACTAGAAGAATCAAAGCATGCATCGGATTAATTGCTACATGCAAAAAAAAAACAAACAAAAACAAAACAACACTCTCTTTTATTGGTAAACAAAAATAAAAAGATCTCCCCGCTCCGTCTGGTAACGGTCCCCACCACTGGGGCGTCTATGGGTGCACTCCAGAAAATGAAGAAAAAAGACTGCACACCAATGTCCACTTACCGTTACCTTTATTCCATGGTGATTAGAGGTTCCAGCGTGGCAGGATTCCCCACCCAAACACCGCCCACCTATAACGTGTTTCACCCTTACAGGCTTAGTCGTAGAGATTATGGATCTCTATGACTAAGCCCGTAAGGGTGAAACACATCAGATATGGGTGGTGTTTGGGTGGGTAATCTTGTCACACTGGAAGCGGTAATTACCATGGAATAAAGGTAACAGTCAGTGTACATTGGTGTGCAGTCTTTTTCCTTTATCTGAAAACAAGCACATACGTCCTACATGTTTTATCTGGAACAAGGCTTGAATTTGATTTTACTTGTGGGTAGATGATGGAAGTTGTTTTATGCACTGATAACCGCATCTCGATTTCTGACCCTGCCACTTGGCACACACATTATGTTTATTTTACATGCTTAGTGGCTGAGTGCTTAGCTCTGTGTCCTTGCAGAACTTGTATCCTGGATCAGATACCCACCAAGGTCACTAAATGCATGGGATGTTATGTTCTTCCCTTGTTGTGTTTCTCTTTCTTGATTGGCTTTCACACAAATTAACCCTAGGGTATGTATGACTATAGTAGGGCTATTAGAATGAAAACTGCTCTTGTGTGGTGACTGGTGTACTGTTACTTATACAGCACTGAGGAATACGTAAGAGTTACATCAACAAGTAACATAAGAAATAATGTAGAATACAATGGAGCCTTGTGACATAGTATTTACAGGGCATCTTACAGAGCCCTCAAGTCATATAAAGAGCCAGTGGGTATCCCTTTATTGCTGCTCACATTTTGCGGTACGTGTTCATTGTTGGTATCCTTTTGTTGTACTCCTTATTACTAAAAGCAATGCAAATGTAAATGGAGAAAAAAATAAGGATCCAGTGTTGCCCTGTAAATAATACAGCCGTTTTGGGCAAACTGATAAACTGTCAGGGATATCAGAGCATTTTTTTTCAGGCCTAAACTTTGTTTACCTCCTACAGAGTTACCTCATTCACAAGTGACAGGGAACATCCACCCACCAAAATGCTTCTTTGTAAGCTACTCACCTGCCCCTGTATGACCTCGGAAGTGCTGAATTCTGGCCCCTGAGCTCCAGTCCCAGCAGGCCACTGTGTTATCAAAGGAGCCAGTGATTAGTTTCTGTTCATCGAAGGTCACAGCAGCACATGTATGTGTCTGGATCCCATATATACACTGACCAGTGCTGACGTCCCACAGTTTTGCGGACAAGTCATCTGAGCCTGTGTGAGAGAGATCAATGTGTAAACAACAGACAAGACATCCACGTATGAAAAAGATCCATGTGTGACTGATAGAAAAGACATACATATATGAAAGAGATGTATATGTGACTGACTGACAGGACATCTATATAGGAGAGACAATTATGTGTAAAGGTTTCTTTGTCAGACACGATATGATACAAAATGATGATGATGATGATGCTGCTTAAAGTGTTTCATTATTTACATTTTCAGCCTATAAATATCACCTTTCTACACATTTAAGGTTGTGGAATTTGGCCAGTTGGGTACATAAGTAACATAGCAGTGACGTCTGGCATAGCCAAGGTTGTCTAATTTTGGTACAAATCAGGGTGGTGCTGACCCATACGCTAAGGAATGTTCAGTTGAGAGAAGATTATCCTACAGGCACTGATCTTTTGAACAGGAAGTGTATTTCCACGTTTGCAGTCAAATCTGAGAAAACCCCCTATATGATTGTTATGTGTTCTTATTCACACAGCACACCAAAAAATAATTACAAAAATATTTCTTGCCTGTGTAGCAGGTCTTTGCAAGCTTCTCTCTCCATTTCCAAGTGACAGGAAGCTCTGTCTATCCCCATAGAAAGACTAAGGACAGATGAGCTTCCTCTTCCACATACAATGCTTCCAGATCTTTAACCCTTTGTTAGGACAGACAGTGTTCAAACCTAGTTTACAACTGATAATGAGATCTGCCAACAGAGTACAGTCAGGGTTCATGTTAACATTAACCTGCCCTTCCCCTCTTGCATTCCAGAACAAAACTTATTGCAGAGTACAACTTATCTTTGAGAATAGAGAATGCATTGCATGCGCAGCAATTTGATTTTTTTAAAGTTATGCAAATGTAAATGAGAAACATGCAACAAATATAAAATAGGTGTTATTTCAATTTGGAAATGTACTTTAACCCCTTCGTGACGGTAGACGTACAGTGTACGTCCTGTCACTTTGTGCCTATATGACTGGCCACGTACACTGTACGTGACGAGTTATATCAGGCTTTGTAATGCCGGTATTTGCTGATTCTCAGCATTTAACAGTCATTCATTAATGTCTCAGTATTGAGGCATTAATTAATGAAATAATTAAGCTTTTTGTAAAAGCTTCTTCCTTTCATTAATGAAAGAATGAAGCCGTTACATGCAAATAGAGGACTGCAATTTGCGATCCCGTATTTGACAGCTCAAAATAGCAGAGAGGCAGCAGTGACTCACCTCACCTCTCTGCTATTTGTTTTGACAGCTCGAGAGCCCGATGTTTGGATACATTTCACTCAAAAGATACAATGTATATCTTTTGAGTGAAATGTATCAGTTCTGATCGTCTAGGCACGATCAAAGAGCTTTTAGTGAGATCTGAATCTGACTAAAGTCAGGATCAGTCTCTAAGGTTATTATTAGCTGTTCCTAAGTTTGGATCAGCCTAA